TTATCTCTATGCATCTATTTCTTCTGTGCTTCACAAACTGGAGAATCCAGCAGAAACAATAAGAAACAGAAACAAAGTGATAAGGGTAAACTAATACAAAGAAAACACACACGTTTGTATATGTGTAAGAAAAAACCACTGTCAGTATTTTAAAGGCCAGGGAAGAAATTCTTGTCACGGAACAAGCAAAAATACACACCTAGAACAATTTCAGGTTGGGTCAAGAGGGAGGTCAACTAACCACGTATCAGGTTCGAGTCATTATAATCTTGGGTTTCAATGATTTCTATCTGATAGTAAAGCTGTTTGAGATCCTTGCCTGTGGCTAGAGGGGATCTGCCAGTGGCTTCATTGGTTTTGGGCTCCTACTTTCCTCCATAGCCGTCCACAAATTGGGTGTTTGCAGTTTAGGCTCTGATCCTTTCCCCTTTGTCATCTTTGAAATCTATTATTGCCTTGTCTTGGGTCACACAGGCTGGTGTCCTTCTTCCATGTGGACTTAGTTGACTTCTCACTGAGATGGCTGCTTGTTTGAATACAAGCCTTTAAGACCCTAGACACTCTTCTGCTTGATAACCAGGCACTATCTGCTTTCTTCACAGAAAGCCTCATTTTTCACCCAGGGAATAGTTGGTGGATTCAAACTTCTGACCTTGTATTTAACAGACCAACTAGGGCTTCTCTGTGACCATCATAGGCTACTAGCTCATTCATTAACTGGTACATAAAACCTGAATTTGATACCTGGGTAGTATTTTGGGAGATTAATACATAATTTTTGATATCATGAATTGGATATATGAAAGCTGAAGCTTTATCCCAGAGAAAACATGTTTTTATTTCATATTTTTGTTTTCCTGCCTTCATACTCTAGAAATATACTTGTATTTGGGGCACAATTAAGAAATACTTTAAAAGTACTTGTTCTTTTAAACAAGTTATATTTTGATTGTCATTGTTTTATCTTTTATGTAAAGCTCTAATTTTGCTGAAAAGAAATTAGTCTAATTGATGAATACAGGATAAAGATGTTAAGAGCGTATTATTATTGCCATTTTATTACCTTATTCTGAATTTTCTCTTTTAGGCTTTTTCTGGAACTGTAATAGAAAAAGAATTTTTATCACCCTCCTTACCACCACACCCAGCCATTGCTCATCCTGTGCTCCCCACCATTCCAGAACGAAGAGAAGTTCTGTCAGAAATATCAGAAGAAACTACAAAGCGTGTTTCCAAATTCAAAGCTGCCAGATTGCAACAGAAAAACTAGATTCTGCCTTGGAAATGGTAGTTTACATCTGAAAGCCGAGTTTCCCTTTTGTTTAGACTATATATAGCAAAATATGTTACATGTGGCTTGAAATAAAACATTCTGGGTCAATATGGCATCGACTTCTCTTACCCTTATCAGTGATATTAAAAAAATTTAAGTAAATATTTGTCTACTTTAATATTGAATTTGTTTTGTTAATTCCCTAAATACTGTCAACACTCATCTGAGCTTGCCTTATGATGTAGTGGGAGCATTTCAGATGAGTTTAAAAGAATACTGTTCACATGTATTGTTTTTGTGTTTTGAACGAAATACAGGCAGTTTTGTACCAGCTGTGATGTCTTGAATACCATATGGACCATTTTAAAGAAACTTTAAAATTTTCAGATAGGTTCAACAATTATATTTCATTACTTGCTTTAGCATTTTAAATGCACTTTTAAAGAAAATCTACCTAGTTGTAGGTTTTGCCATTAGATGGCTATTTCAAAGCACCTCTTCCCTCTGAATGTGCTATAAACGCTTAGGCAGAAAGCGTCATGTACCCTGTGGGAAAGTCTGTGACTGGAAGAATGGTATTTTGTAAAATCTTTTTTTTTCCTTTTCCCCAAGTAAAAATTTTATGAACCATGCTTTCTAAAATCTTGTGAACTTTGATTCAGATTGGAATGCAGTTTATTTGTGTGTATGCTCCACACACCGCCCAATCAGTCCTTGAATTTGTGTAATTCAGGCATTACTCCCCTAATATGTATAGCTTTAACTGGAAACATGTTTTAGAGGGAAGAGGTAAGATGTCTACCAAAAAATAAAAATTTTATGTCAAGAATTCTTAAACTGTCTACATGTCATTCTCTTTGGTTACTTTCGTACTAGTAAATAGCTGAAGTAAAATATTTACTTTTTGCCAAACTATTTAAAAAGAAATTTATTCCAACATTGGAAATTGCACGGCAAGTGTAATCATTAGCTTGATGCATGCTAAAATGTAGCTTTTAAAAAGCAGTCTGCATTAGTACTAAAATAAGCCATCAATGCCAGTCCACCCTCTATTCATGGCTAAATAGTTAAAGGTTATTTATAGCTTCTTTAATGAATTCTTGCTTAAACAAAGTGAAATTATGTCCTAGAAAAGTAGAAGCTATTTGTAACTAGAACAGCATAACTGTAAAGTTTTTTATGAATATGTATTTTAATAAGGGGGTGAGATTTAATCCTTACTGGTTAATGGATAATCCAGAACAGGGGTCTGATTTTGAGAAATCACTTAAAAATGGAGGTTTTTTTCCTTTAATAAATTTTTATCAACTCTGCATATATTTTGTGGTTAGAAACAGTTTTTCACTTATCCCACCCCCCGCAAAACCCAAGAATTCCAATCCCACCACACAGTGGAGCAAGCTTTCCTGACTGTTATTCAGGTAAGCCTTTGGGGCTAGATTATTCCCCTCCCTTTACAAGTACAAAACAGAGCATCCTTTATTGTAGTGTTACCGTGGTCGTCTTTCAGAGAGTACTGTCGTTAAATATGGTTTCACGTTCATAAAATTTAGAACGTGATGTTTATGCAGTTCATGTTACTTCGTTCAAATAGATCTTTCCTCCTAGAATAAGATAATGGTAGAAGCAAAGATAACCTGTTTTAATATCTTTGGCTGAACCAAATATAATTGTACTGCCCCATATAGTCTCGGTGTTTAAAATTGTAACTTGAATTTACAGCTTTATTCTTTAAATTAAATTCAAGTTATGATGGGACAAAAATGAAATTGTTCTTCCATTGTAAAACAGGGCAGCACAGACCAAGAGATTTTTAAAGTGCTTATCTAAACTAATTTTAGAGCTATAGAAAAATTGCAAAAGTAGCACATTCCTTGTCCACCAGCACCACTTGGTGTTGAGTCAATCTGACTGGTGATCTCCCGTGTGCCACAAATAGAACTATATTTGAAAGCATTCTTATGACTGAGTTTTTAATAGTAGATGGTAACCAGGCCTTGCTTCCAAGGTGCCTCTCGATAGACTGGAACCACTCTGAATTGTTGGTTAGCTGCTGACCATGGTAATCATTTGCAACACATACATTTATTTTGTTTTTTAAAAAATTTTTTTAATCGTTTTATTAGGGCTCAAACAACTCGAAATCTCTAGGGATATACTCGACTAAAAGAACAAAAGATCTATACGGGGAAAACTACAGAACACTATTACAAGAAACCAAGAGCGGCCTCAGCAAATGGAGGAATGTCCCATGCTCATGGATTGGAAGACTCAATATAGTCAAGATGTCAGTTCTGCCAAAGGCACTATATAAGTTTAATGCATTCCCGATACAATTACCCCCATCTTTCTTCAAAGAAATGGAAAGACTGATTACCAACTTCATATGGAGAGGGAAGAAACCCAGAATTAGCAGAGAACTCAAGAAGGACACAGTGGGAGGGCTTGCTTTATCTGACTTTAGCACATACTATACAGCCACAGTTGTCAAAAACACATGGTATTGGTTCAATGAGAGATACTCAGACCAATGGAAAAGAACTGAAAGCCCAGAAATAAAATCTTTAGCATACAGACAATTGATCTTTGATAAGGGCCCAAAAAATATCTAATGGGAAGCAGATGCCCTTTTTAACAAGTGTTGCTGGAAAAAGTGGATTATTTACCTGCAGAAAATGAAGCAAGACCCTTATCTAACTCCATGCACAAGAATAAACTCAAGTTGGATCACAGACCTTGAAGTTAAACCCCAAACTACTAGGGCCATCAATGAGGGAATTGGGACCAACTTGAGAACTTTGGCACAGGGAATACATAGGCTATCAGAAATAGGGACGGACACAAACACAGAGGAGGCACAAATTGACAAGTGAGATATACTCAAGATAAAACACCTGTGTACATCGAAATAATTCACCAAGAGAGTAATAAGAGAGTCCACGGACTGGGAACACATACATTTATTTAGTCTTGCAACATCAGTCCAAAAACTTCCCCAAAGTTACTTCGATTCTGTCCTTTTCCATTTCCTTCATTGTGGGTGTTAGTCATTGGTTGAGTTCATAATTCATCTTGGGTTCTCTGGATTGTTCATGGAGCATGTGAAACAGTAATGTAGTTAAAAGAGTTGTAGTTTTGTAAGAAGATACACTTAGAAGTGTTTCTCCCTTTCCTGCTACCCTGTTCTCTTTCCTAGTTTCTTTCACTTCCCTAGTGTCCATAATTAATCTCCGTGGTTTCTTCTTTAAAAAAAATTGTTACTTTTATTTGCAGTATGTAACACATAAAATTGCACAGCCCAGCATACCAGAACAGTAAAGTTATCCCAGTAAACCCCCTTTGTGTATGTGGTTCTTCCCCCGCCTCCCACTTCATTGATTTTTGCATAATATTTTAAAATTTTTATTTGTTTTTAATTTTCATTTGTTTGCTATAATAGAAATTGATGTGACAGACATTGGTGTTCATATATCTATTCGTGCTTTTTTATATCTTTAAGGTAGAGAGTTTGTAGTATCATAAAGTATTTGTATTTGTTTAAAGACATGCCATACTGTTCTCTATAGTGGCCACAGTTCTGCATTCTCACCAGCAATGTATAAGTGTTTCAATCTCACCACATCTTTTTCTAACATTATTTTCTAGTTTTTAATTTTTAAAATTTTATTAAGAGTGTGTCAGTAGAAAGTGGTGTCATCATTGTTTTAATTTTTATTTCTCGTATAGCTAATGATTGTTGGCTGTTTGGAAGTCATCTGTAATAAATTGTCTGTTCATGCCTTGTACCCATTGTGCCATTTGTGTTTTTCTTATTAATGTGTTGTAGTTTTCTAATTAGCTCATAATCTGATAATCATTGCCAAATATTTCCGCCCCCCCCCCCCAATTTGTGGGTTCTTTTTTGACTTTTGATGAAATCTTTTGATGTGCTTAAAAAGCTTATGTTTAGAAGGTCACAGTCCTCTATTTTGTCAGAACTAGCCTATTTTGATTAGAGGCTGTATAATAGGTTTTGAAATATGGGAGTGTAGGGCCTCCTATTTTGTTTTTGCTTTTTAATAGTGTTTGTCCTGTGTTTCTTCCCTTTTCATGTGAAGTTAGTGATTATCTTTTCTTTGAAGAATCATGTTGGATAACAGTTGCATTGAGTTTATCAAGTTCTTTTGGTGATATTGACATGTTCACTATATTAAGTCTTACTATCCATGAACATGGGGCATTCTTCCATTTGTTTAAGTCTCTTGTTTTCATGTAGATGTATTTCATAGCTTTCTTTATATAAATCTGGTTAGATTTATTTCTAAGTATTTTTGACTTGTTATTGTAAGTAGTATTGTTATTTTAAATTTCTTTTTGGGATCCTCTTTGATTTATAAGAATACAGGTGATTTTTGTATGTTGTTCTTACAACCTGCTATGTTGCCAAATTTTTCAGTTAGTTCCAGCAATTTTTTATTGACTCTTTGGCTTTTCTATGTGTAGAATTATGTGATTTTCAAGTAAGAGAGCTTTGCTTCTTTGACAATTTGGATAGCTTTTTAGTATCTCTGATGTCATAGTTCTAAGACTTCAAGGACTGTATTAAATAGGAGTGGTGATAAAGGGCAACCCTGTCTGGTTCTTATTTGGAGGGGAATCATTTCAATTCTATTAAATGAGATGCTAGTTATTTGTTTTGCATATATACCTTAAATTATGTTGAAGAATTTCCTTTCTATTTGTTTTATTAACAAATATCTAGAATTGTTATCAAGAATTGTTGTTGAATTTTACCAAGTATCTTATCCACATAGATTGATATAATCATGTGGTTCTTTTCCTTTGTTTCATTTATATGGCAGATTGAATTGATCATTTAATATGGAACTGTTAATTGTGTTTCTGGTATGAATCCCACTTGTCTTATGATTTTAAAAAAATGTTTTGTTGAATTATGTTGAAAAAATGTACATCTATATTCATTCTGGTGATAGCTTTGCCTGGCTTAGTTAGGCATCATGCTTATACTTCATAACATTAGGTTAGTATATTATCATTTTCTGTTTTCTAAAATAGTTTGTGTAGGATTAATGTTAACTCTTTTCTGATTGATAGATTGGCAGAATTCCCCAGAAAAACCATCTGGTCCTGTAGTTTTTGATGTTGGGATCTTTGTAATGACCACATCTATTTTTTCTTTTGTTATAGGTCTGTTAAGGCTTTCTACATCAGTCTGTGTTAATTTAGGTAGATAATGCATCTCTCAAAATATACCCATTTCTATCATGTTTTCAAATTTGATGGAATATAATTTGTCATAGTACCCTTTTTATTTTGGTTGGTTCTGTTGCCTGTTCCATTTCTTGTTTATAATATTTGCCTTTTCTCCTCCTTTTGTTTAGTATCAATTTTGTTAATCCTCTCAAAGAAACAACTTCTTGTCATATTGATCTTTTTAATTTTCTTGTTCATTTATTTCTGCTCTTTATTATTTTCTCATCTTTTGTCTGAGGATTTGTTTTGTGGATTTTGTTCTAATTGTTTTAGGGGATGTGTTAAGGTTTATTTTTTTCTCTTTTTGCTGTGTGCACTTAGTTGCTATAAATTGTCTTGAGTACTAATTTTGATGCGTCCCAGAGATTTTGCTATATTTTCATTCTCATTTGTCCAACGAATTTTTAAATTGTGCTCTTCATTTATTCATGTGTCCAGTAGTTTTATAGTGAAGTGGTCTGTTTCTGTGTACTTTAATTTTTAATTGATCATCCTAGGGTTGATTTTTACAGCAGTGTGATCTGTAAAAATTATTTGTAGTATATTGATGTTTTAAAAATTATTAATGCTTGTTTTATGGCCTAATATGATCTATACTGAAATGTACTATATACCCTAGAATAGAATATATTGTTTTGTTTAGCTTTTTTTGTATCTGTTGATTTTCTTTCTACTTGATCTTTGTAAGAAAGTGATATATTAAAGTCACCTAGTATTATCGTATTGTGATCTTATTTGTCTCTTTGTATAAGGGTTTGAGGAATGTATTTTGAGGTTCTTTCATTGGATGCATAATTGTTTTTTATGGCTATGTCTTTTCAGTTGTAACTCATTATATAATGGCCTTCTTTATTCACTATGGCTTTTATTCTGGTAACTTTTGTTTGAAATTAATACTACTATTCCTGCTTTCTTTGACTACCATTAGTGTGGTAGACTTTTTTCCCCCATCTTTTAATTTTTAATCTGTTTTTATTTTTATATCTCTGTTTCTTGTAACAGCATTGTTAATGACTCATGCTTTCTTATCCATTCTGTTAGTTTCTGTCTCTTAAACTGATTTT